GTCCCGCAGCTCATGAAGAAGAGTTAACGTCTCTCTTAAAAAGTTAACAAAGAGTCAACGTCTCTCTTAAAAGAGAGTTGAGGCAAGTTACGACTACAACCAAAAAATAGTAAAAAGAAAACTTTAAGGGTGTGTCCCAACTTATTTACGATTGGAAGTCAACTGCGCTTATCTATTACTGCAGAATTAGTAATATTTATTTTTTCGCACAGACGCCGAAGTTAAGATAAAAATGTGATGAAAAAGTATACGCGACTGCCGTGCTTCGGTCACGCGATGGAAACAAAAAAAGTTAACGGAAGAGGCGCTTCCTGTTCCATTTCCTTTTGTTACTTGTGCGCCACGAATTCGTGAAAATACGACATGGAAAGTTCCGTCGTCATCTCTGCCACCACACCAGCAATATGTATATAAACTTTGCGCCGACGCTCAGAGTGCCACTCGATTACAAGCATACCGCTGCTTTTAAGTCCGTGCTCTGCGTAGGGTTTTGCATAAAGCTCGCCGACCTATACGACACAAGTTTTTCCAACACGATATCGACGGCCAACACATACATTGACAAACGTGTAAGAAAAATACTTCGCTGAATATGTATCCACATCGACGTATTTTAGGATATATGCTGTGTTACAGTTAATGCTATTTATGGCTTGATATGAAGCGCAACGGGGCGCACGTCTGACAGTTCCAAACATAAAAAAAAGACTTTACTTGCTACTGTTCTCGATCAGTCCTGACTTGCTGCTGCATGCATAGCTCTCTCCGAAGACGCGCCTGAACTCTCCCTTTTGGAGTGCCGCACGTCCTAGAAGTCTCCGAAACGAGTATATAGGCATGGCGATAGTTATAGCACGAGAACAAAACGACAAAACAGAGTCAAGAAAGTTCTTGTCTCTTTGTCGTCATTTTCTTCTCGCGCTATAACTATCGTCATGCCATACCAACTAGCCCAAGCTGCCACACTTCTGAGTATATATGCCTAATAGTCTCCAACAGAAGGTGAACGTGTACCTTGAGAGTTAACTGCATGACAAATCAAGACTCGCCGAAAAAAAAAAAAGGTTAAGAAGTAATATTTTCTTCCTAACCTCGAAGCTGCTCCACTCGGTGTTAAAAATGCCGAGGCATAAAACTATCATCCCCATGAACCGACACGCCCTCTCTTCGTGCTCTTTGTCATCTTTAACTACATTCCCAGAACGCGTACGTGCGCCATTTTGTCCGATATGGAACAAGGGGGAAACGCAAGGGTGAGGTGAAGGGTAAAATAAGGAACGAGAACAAGAGAGCGAAATCTTAAGAGAAAAATCTTGGCCAGAAAAAAAAAATCCTCACGAGGCGGCGGGATCGGAAGCCACGGACCCGCGTTCCAAAGGCGAGCGTCTCATCCACTCGGCTGTTGGGGCACTTTTTACACGATGACAGAACGCCGCATAGCCAGAAGTGGTGTCGTATACCAAGGGGGTAGGGAAGGTGGGAAGTGCTGCGGAGGAGAGCTCTGAGAGCGATGAGGGGAGAAAGAAGGCGGGGAAAAAGTGAAGCATGGTACATAAGAAAAAGAGAAGACAATAGACAGATAATTGCAGAAAGAGAAATAAAGAGAGAGAGGGAAGAAACAAAAAGCAAGCGAGAAATAAACAGCGAGAGAGAGAAATAGCAAACAAGAGAAAGAGAACAGAATTGAAAAATAGAGACCAAAAAACAAAGACGAGAGAAAAAGAGAAAGAAAGAGAAAACTAAAGAGAAACATAGACGACAGAAATGTAGAGAAATAGGTCGCCCAGCGAGCGGTCGCGACGGGCCTATGCATTGCTGCGACAAGCTTTTGCACAAACAAAAACGAAGAAGAGCTAACGTTGTGAAAACTTGCAGATTTTTTCTTTCTCCGATGATAACGATAACAGTTGTGAAAGGGTGAAGTGTGAAATAAATACACGCATCTTGTTCTGGTAACACTTAATCCATTCTCAAGTCTCGAACCACCCTGCCACTCCTTACGTGGTACAGCAACACTTCAGATGCGATGACACCTGTCCCAAATAACAAGACATGAACAATTCAGCAACCTGCCTTATATGGCGCAAAGAAAAAAAAACACGTTTGGCGCATCATCATGCCTTGAGGTTTGACGCGTGGACCTCAGCCCGGCTTTTCGTTGCCACCGTCTCAGCACTCGAGCTCGGCTGCGCGCCGTGGATAGCGCGAAACCAAAAGAGCCGACGACTTCTCTTTCCCGGGGCTGCCCACCGGTAGCGGAGGCGATTGCGCATCCTTTACGTCACCACTCGAGCAAGGACGCGCGCCTCATCACCGGAGGGAGAGGCAATCAGCCTATCTCTGCCGGTCGTCTCAAGGAGTTACGAGGTCTCGGAAAAGCACTTCAAGCGGAGGACCCCGCTCCCAGAGACGCTGTTGCATAAGGGGCGCGCCGCACAACTTCACTTTGCAAGTCATTGCGAAAATTCTTCCACATAGCCGTACCTCACATCACCTGCAATTTTGCGTGCCAATACCACGACATGATTATGAGCCACACCAAAGCGGACAGCTCCAAAAATTTCGACCGTTTGCTCTTCTTTAACGTGCGCTGACATCGGGGCCACCCGCATTTATCTTCGAACTAGTTCCGATAGCCAAGGCCGGGATCGAATCAGCGACTTACGGGTCACCAGCCCAGCACCTTAACCGTCGCACCACTGAGGCGGAACACGTAACCCTTCAAGTGAGAGGAGGGCAAGCGCACTTTCTGTCTATGCGATCTGCATACCACGATGCCACAAAGTTTCCGACAAGAGACACTAGAGCATCGTGGCACTGCAATCGTTCATGCAGCTGCCACTGCACTGATATCTATTACACAAAATGAATTGGTTTATCTCCGAGCATATATACAGAGGTGTTCTTGGGTGTCATTTAGCCCGCTGCATCTACATAAATTTAATGACCTTATTGTCAATAAAATATGGGACTTTTCTTTTTCAGAACACGGAAAGAAGCAGCACTACGCACACGCGTAACAACTGTCAATTACGTAAGTTAAGACAATGATTAAACACCCTAGCTTTTCCTTGATTGCTATCTCTAGCAAGGAACCGATGCCAGGGCGGATAACATTAGGTTACGTTCTTCGGGCGATGCATTCGCAGAATGAGCGACGCCTCCATTTTCCCCACGCTTGTACGGACTGCAACAAAATAGGTTCCCGACTTCCTGTGTTAAAAGGGTGATGCGCAATGGATTCTTGTTCGTGGTGTTTCGATAATACGGGCTGGGATATAAAGTTGCACAAAGTCTACAACATATTCATCCTGGACGTGATCTGCACCAGTGGTTTCGTCCGCAGTTGCCCGCTCGTGTCACGCAAACTTTGGCATGGTGGGCGGCAGTTTTAGAATAGGCTACCGATAGTTTTGCGTACGCTGTCGCTTGCGTTTGTCGCCATTGCGCATGCGTCACAAGCAGCTTTCTTGGATACTCACTTTATTTTTCGATACATTGAGCGTACGCAAGCATCGCAGAGCTTGAATATCCCATTCTAATACACTCTATCATCTCTCTACATTTATGTCTTGCGTCTCCACCTATTCCCAGGCAGTCACACATCGGCGACGCCACTGACTGGCATAAACAGCTGTGTACGCACGCATAACCAAAAAAAAAGCCCTAAAGACAACCACCACCGCTTCACGAAATCCTAAAAGTGTCAGCGGGTGAAGTCTAGTGATGAATGTTTCGTAATTAATGACTTTTCAAGTAAATAGAAGGGTTTATTCGAGCAATGCTATTGCCGACAGCAGACTGCATGGTCAGCACGGATGCCGCAACGACGAACTTCTCGCAGCAAGGCAACAAAATGAGCACATCGCAGTTATCGATTCTCGCTCGAAAGGACCTTAGGCGGGGCCCTCTCGTGTAACGAAGTTGACGCGCCGCGACACTTACGGGCACGCGAGTCACACCTTGTCGAAACGGCAGTCCAGCTGCCAAAGACGATCAGTGCAACCGCCAAGATCAGTGGTCTAAGACTATACGTGAACGCCAAAAAGACGGCGTGGTCGCCTCGGAGGAAGAACGCACGTGGTGCCTAAAAATACCGGACCCTTCTAGCCCGCGATGCCGAGGGCGGAAAAGAGCGCTATATTCGGTGGCCCCACTCACTCGGCTTACTGACACCCGGCGTTTGTGCAAATTACACGCGATTGTCGATTAGTGTGCTCGCAGTAGAGGTCCGCCTTAGTAAATACAAAAAAATTCTGTAGGATGGTGCAGTGTCTTTCGCCGTAATCGTCAGCCGGACATAACTTCACAGGGTGATTCATTTATATGAGGTAGTTGCTCAATAGCACTCGCAACGGCGAAACGACGGCTAGTTCCGCAGATGCATAATTGACGTAAGCGAGTGCATCGAATGTCTAGTAAAGCAAGCCTTAGTCCGAGACAGTGGGCTCAATTTTAGCTTTCAGTGGCGACCATGTAATATTCAGGGGTAGCAAAAGGTTTCGTTTTACGCCACCGCATGCGCATGTTGCCTAAATTTAAAGCCGCGTCGCAACCTTCTTTCGGTTCATCGCCGACCCCTTTGACAGTTTCGCATTTCTATTCAGTGCGAGTCCAGAGTCACAGATATGTTTACACGTGTGGTTGTGGTACACAAAATGTTTACTCGAATAACTGCGGCGTGCCCGGTCATATCTACAAGCCCGGCAAGCAGCCACTGCGGTCTCCGTAAGCGCCACATGCGGGTAAAAAACACACTGTGGAGCCTCGAAATACGAATGAATGAAAGACACCGGCTTGTGTGTCCGCTCTACGCCTCGGCCGAAACGCCGCAGCGGATTTGCGAATTCCGAATGGGTCGAAGTGCGACAGCGTAGCACGCTTCGCAGCGATGTACAAATGCGGCGATAGCTAAACGCACGGCGCATCGGTGCGCGAGTCTGAAAAAGTACGCCAACATGCCGAGTGATGGTCAAAAAAACAATGTTGACACGCCTCACCTTGGCTGCCACTTGGGTCGTTTCTCAGATGCTCCGCAGCTGCGGCGCACAGCGGCAGCGATGGCCGCGGCTCAAGCTCCGAGTAGCTCGCTGCTTGCCCGGTGAAACCTTTCTGCGTATCCGGCGATGTTCACGTTCTCCTGAATGCTGGGCTGGGGTGCAGAGGATTCCTCGCAGCCCTGTGTGTGCCGTATGCTGGTACTGCTCTGAAGCGCACGAAATGTGGGTGAGACAAGAAACGAGAGAACACAGCAGCGGAGCAGCCGCTACACGCACGCACTGATGCACAAGCCGGCGCGTACTACACACACGCCGCTCGGTTTATTGGTCGCCGGCGCAGACGCACGCGCTCCGCTGCTCCGAGCCCGCCGCCGCGCAATGGAGAGAGAAAACGAGAGAGAGATGGAGAGAGGGCGTGTCACTGCAGGCCACATCGTAAGCGACTGCGGCGGCGCCGTACTCGTGTGTGGTGTCCCTCAGAACTTCTCAGGAGCCGAAAACTCCACTTTCCGCGCCGATGTTTTGAGCAGTGCTCAGTGAAGCATGACAATATTGTTTGCGCTTCAGCACAGGCAACGGGCACGAAGACTAGAGGCAACAGGCTCTGGAGCATTCGCGTACCAACTCTTTCGCAAGTGGGGGAGGGGGGGGGGGGCTAATCTAACACGCTCGCCAGCCGGTATATATATATATATATATATATATTTCTAACGTGCTCGCACTCTCATCTCGGATTTCATACACACCACATTTGTTCGATAGCGTAAAAAAAGAAAAAAAACGGGACAGTCAGTTTAAAGCAGCATGCACTTGTACAACACGTATATGTTTGGCATTCATTATGCATGTAATGTTATTACACGTGACGCTTTTTATGCATTACGTCACAACTTTCTGCATGAATACATTTATGTTGATGGCGGCCTCCTCTACTATAAATATTTTATCATTGAATGAAAATTTCATTGACTAAAACAGCTCAAAAAGATCTCAGTTTTTAAATGTGAAGCATTATTAGAGGAACCAAAGATATTTTGAGCATTTCTATCTACTTATTCTAGCTTTCAACTGAGCTCGAGTCCACTGCTTTATTTGTAGCCGCTTTGCAAACTGCCTCTATCGCTCCATGTGTCCATAAGCAAGGCCGATAATATTTATCAGAGAATAAAGCGGAAACCTTTCTTGGCACTTCCAGTACGGCAAAACTGAAGTATTTAGAAAGCTTAATCACAATCTTGTGCTCACAGCAGCTTCGCCTGAGCAGCGGTGATGGTTACCCTTCTTGATGGAAGAAAATTATTTTTTGACGCAGCAAATTTTTTGACAGATCCATAAAAAAGTTTGTTCGTTCCCATCTTTAACGGCATCGGCCAGTCACAGCAGAATAAAGACATGAACAAGTGATGTAATATGTAGGGCCCCTGTTCAGTGCTAGCCTGCTCCACAGTGCTACTGCACAGGGTGGCAAGCGTCGCAAAGAAACTTCAAGGAAAATATTCACTGCTGAAATGTTGGAATATTATCACTACGTTCCACCTTTGCCTCGTAACATTTTATTTTTCTCGTAACAATATAATTCAGTGATTACAGCGGAGAAAGAAAATTTTGCCTTAGTAGTTGTTTTCCCCAGCGTGCAGCCGACAGTCACCACTCTCGCAAGTGGGAGGGCTCAGCCTCCACAACCTTTCTTAGCGGGGGGGGGGGGGTTGCGCTTCACTTGCTTCCCCCCCGCCTGTCTGTTACGGCTATACTCTGGAGGGAAATCATGCCGGCGAACGTAAAGTGTTTGAAGGAACGTGCACAACGTTTAGTGAAAGCGTTACCAAATTAATTCATTATTCGGAGGGGAACCTAATCATTGAAGTGAGATTTAATGATGAAAACGGTGGTGTTGGAGCAGCAAGTATTGCCAATCATTTGGCCAACAATACCTAACTTTAGCCAGTGCTGACGAGGGCTGGTTCTCTGCAGGTTAACACCGAATAGCGGATCACGTCACTTAGACGCTCTGCTAGACTTTAGAACCTTCTGTTCGGCCCATGCGGTTTGTCCCAAATCCTACCCAAGAACAGATCGAGCATGCAGAGTTAAAAATAGAATAGAAAAATAGAATGGCACCATGGCCTCAGTACACCTGTAGTACGTTTTCTCGAGCACCTGAGACGACTCATTCGAATATTAGAAAATTTGGCGTGTCAAAGGTGTTCGCTCTTTATATTGAAAGAACACGATCTCGAAGTACGAGCATTTATAGCAGAGCTGTTTAAGAACCCCTGATAGCACATTTGGAAGCTCGGGGGGCTCGGGCTGTTAGAGAGTCCTGACTGCGGGAGCACTTGTGACCGACTACAATAAAACCTCGGTGATGCGAATTTTGTGGGGGAATGAAAAAATTCGCATCGTCTGAAATTCGTATAAATAACATGAAAAATAAGCACGTGACAACTGGATACTGGCGCATATAATGGTCAGCTGTTGGGCTAGTCAGTTCGGCATCTTTCAAAAGGGAGTGCACATTTGGTTAGGAAGAAAAAACGCATGACAGATAAGACAGTAACTTGCAACTGAGTTTACTCAAAAAACTTTCACACCAAGAAAGCTTATGCGCAAGCACAATGACAACAAACTCTGTCACAAAAGAAAAAAAATGGCAGAACCCACGTACAGTGGCAATCGATGATATGCGAAGCACAAACGGGGAAGGCTGATATGTCACTTTCAAATCACCACAACGTTAAAAGGTGAAGGTAAACTATGCCATACACGACTTCTGTGTCGTGATTATCATGTTTGGATGCGTCGTTTACCTTCGTGATCTAATCACGTCACGTGATGCCAAATTTAGTGTATGTGGAGCTAGCGGCCAACCGCGAGCACGCTATGAGCTGGTATGTTTTCATGTTCTTACATGACAGGCGTCTCATGATTATCATGTTTGCACCAGTCATATACCTTCGTCACCCATTGATGTCACGTAACACCAAATTTGGTACGTGTGAAGCTAGCGAAACGGCCTCGGGTACATCATAAAGGGCCCAATACACTCCAACGTAACGTTGACGCGCGCACGTTGGGCACAGCGATGCCACGTAAGCAAAACGCGAGCACTCTATAGTCTCACGCCAAGCGCGACCGGCGTCTGTCATTGCGGCCCGACGGCAACCGGTGGGAAATGCGACGTGCTGCATTTGGCGCCAGTGCGTTACCCAGCCAGCACTGCGTCTGCCTCTTTTTCGAGAGGGAGGGACGCCGGACGCGTTGAAACGCGCACGAGTCAAAGCAACACAGCGCGCGTCTGCGAGTATATGGCAGGAATGGCGCATGGCGTGGCAACGCCGGGGCGCACGTGCGCCGGGTCACGTCGGAGTGTATTGTCGCCTTGACTGTGGCGTGTAGTCATGTTCTCACATGACACGCATCTCACGTTTATCATGTTTGCTCCAGTCAGATACCTTCATCATCCATTCACTAACAGTAATACCAAATTTGGTATATGTGACGCTATGGAAATGGCCGCGAGCGCACCATGAGTGTGGAATGTAGTCATGTTGTTACATGACACGCATGCCACAATTTTCATGTTATGGTCTGTCGCTTTTGTTCGCCATGCAATCATGTCATACCATACCAGTTTTGCAAGATGTCATGTGAACGGAACCACCGCAAGAACTGCAGGACCATGCAATGTAAATCATGACATACATGACATACATGTGGTGATTTTCATGTTATGGCTAGTCAAATATGCTCGCATATAGTCATGTTATGTCATACCAAGTTTGGTATCGATACCAATATCGAAAAGGCCAGGAGAGCTGAAAGTCGTAGGCGCCTAGATAGCTAGCTAGCTAGCCAGCTAGCTAGCTAGCTAGCTAGCTAGATAGATAGATATAGATAGATAGATAGATAGATAGATAGATAGATAGATAGATAGATAGATAGATAGATAGATAGATAGATAGATAGGCTCAAAGTCCTGGAGGTTCGAGAAAATACTTCGCATTTAAAAGAAAATCCAAATCGCTGGAGGATTCCGTATCGATATAGAGAGACAGAGAGAGAGAGAGAAAACTTTATTTGCGCATAACGCGGAGCATTTCAAATGGTCGGGCCTGTTGAGAAGGCGCCCTCCGAAATCCCGCCGCTGACCTCCACTGTTGCGAAACGGCGTACCGATCCCGCCGAAGCCACCACTGTTGCGAAAGACGGCGACGCCAACACGGCCCCGGAGGCGCCACTGCTTTCAACTCCGCCGGGAAGGTCACCAGCCGTTTGGTAGCGTATGTTTATCAGCTCGCGACTGCTTCTGCGCAGAGCTGATAAGACGAGCGGACGAGACGACGGTGAGTTAAACAAGGTTTATGTACAGCATATTTACAGAGGCGTTACAATTTCGGCACTGGGGCCGACAGAGACTCGAAGAGCCGAGCTCTCTTCTCTAACACATAGGTCAGCCTTTCGCCTAAGACCGCTGACTCACACACATGTCGGCACTCCGACACGGGGACTCCTCTCCTAGGATCTCCGATCGCGACGCGCCGCAGGGCTTCTTTTATTTACACCGGGTCCAACCAAAATGTCCAATCAGAAGCGCCGCTGGTCGTCCGGGCAGATTCCGCCAATGGGGGTCGCCGCGCCATGCGTCAGACCACCAGGCACGAGAACGCCGGCTCGCTGTCACGTGCGCCGATGACTCAATGCACGTGGGCGAGAGAGGCGCCGCGCGTGTTCACGCCGTTGAGATGTTCGCGTCGGGCAGACGGCGGGCTGGCCTTGACCCAGATTGCCTTTTTCAGAGGCACGGTCGTTTGACGAGAACTCGCTGGCATAACAGCACCCCCGCCGCCAGACAATGCACCGGAAAGACGAGCTGCCTCCACGGGGCTCGGATGTCAGGTGCGCTCGTTCGCCTGGTCCCTCCAGGTTCGCCTCCAGGGCCATGGGGAGAATACAGCTCCAGACTGGTCCGGGAACACATCCCATTTTGACGACGGATCCCAGCTCCACTGGCTTGTCGCCACAACTTGCTGACCAGCTTCACTCGTCTCTTCTGACCATCTTCGGTTTCAGCACTTGTCGAGGGTTCTGCAACTTGCTAAGAACGGTTCGACAACAGACAACACACGACACAA